GTTGTCTATTGAGTTCAGTCCATACCTTATGAAATTTTTTTGAGTTTTAGCTGGCATTAAAGTCCTAATCCTTCCTTATCTTGCGTCCGTCCTTCGTATCTCTTGAAGACTATTGATAATCACTCAAGAAAAGATTTTATATAATGTCTTGGATGTACTTATGTGGAAAAACCTGGCGGTAAGTTGTTAAATTTCTGTTTTATTTTGTGTACAAATCTCTTTGTTTTTCAAAGGAATGAATATTCTGGGACCAGCAATAAACAAAGTAGTAACGACTGTACCAGAAGAAAAGTGGCTAATGGTTAATGTGAATGTGTCACCATCAACTATCACAATTTGTAACCATAATGTAAGCAATATAACATTGAACTCGTTATAGTTTATATTATAGTGGTTACTCTTGTTCATAGGAAACTAACGAGCAACTTTTAGAGTGTCGTATTAGATATCTATCATTTATGGGAGTTAGTGCTGATCCAAAGTAAGACTTTTTTTTCAGATATTTAACTTTGATAATATGTTGAATGTTCTTCTTGTAAGATATTTTGGCATTATTATACATTGTGCCGATAATACATTTAAATGTCATGTGTTTCAATGTGAACCATCGTGTGTTCAGTTGTGTAAAACGATTGAAGCTGCTTGTAAAGTAAGTTAATCAATTAAACATGAACACGAGTGTAAATGCTTTATTTTTAGTTACGTTATCAAAAATGTATAGATGCACATCCACAAGCCGCAAAACAAAGTGAACAAACAAAAGTAATAGTAATACCCATTATTAATGAATTTAATAATAAATACTTTTTCTTTCTGTTTTTCAGTCGTATGGTGCACAAATTAAAAGTCTTGTTGGTTCTTTTTGGTATGGCAAACATTAACTCTGTTATATTAATGTCAAATATGAAAAAAATCTTGTTTTTTTCACCGTCACTTTAATATTGATCGTAGAACGATAGAGATACATTTTGTTTTTTGATTTGCTCGAAGTAGTCATTAATTGATTTGTTGATTTTCGCTCAATACACAACGAATCTCTTCGTGCTGTTTTGTGTGTGTATATCCCTTTTTCAATATATTACATAAAGCATTCTTTTAGTATTCGTTTTTCTTTTGTATTATTTAACTTTGTCTCTCTTTTCAACAATCATCAAAACGTATTAATATTTGTTTGTTTTCTAATTAAATATGTGAATACAAACATCATTACATCATTTTTATATTTTTAGCATTTTTTATACTTTCATATTATTACATTGATAGAATAAACAAAACAGTATTTACTACATTAGTATAGATACATATTTTCGAATCAAGAAAATATTGTTATCAACACGTTCGTCGATAACATATGAACTATCTTCCTAAAATATATTATTGATTTCAAATACGTTCGATTATGACAAAGTTTAAAATGAATTGTGTTCTCGACTATCTTGTGACATTTCTAGTTTTGTTAATCATAGTCTATATATGTAAGATAATTAAAAATAACTGCAAAGATAAAATTTAAATCACTTTGAAATTTATTCGTGCATATTGACAAGTTTTAAACGTCAAGTTTCCAGGAGATCTCATAAATATGTTAATGTGTCTAAACCATAACGTGTAAGGAAATGTGAATGTCGAAAGAGTTCTATTTTCTAATCGTATTATCATTACAAAACTATAATGTTCTATGCACACTTGTTAATCAGGCTGAAATTTGTTTTCATTATTTTTTTGAAATGAATAGTGTGTAAACAACGATAAAAAATAAATTATCATCATGAAGCTGCTGTTAATAGAAACTTTAAATATGACGGTATATCATTAAATCTTTTCTTAATTTTTTACCGCCTTTTTTTGTTCTTATTATAAGAGAGAGTAAAGATACCGCTTAGATATTGACAATAACAACGGTAACAGTAGCCAGTTACAGTCATCTTTGTTGAGAGCAGAATATTTAGTTGTAAAGTATGTTCAAAAGTGTGAGATACTCTATTTTACATTCTTTAATCGTCACAAAATGAATTCTCTCAATTGTCGGCAATATTTTTGCATTATTCACTATTCGAATGAAATACAAAATGTACAATGTTGAGTGATTATCAATAGTCTTCAAGAGATACGAAGGACGGACGCAAGATAAGGAAGGATTAGGACTTTAATGCCAGCTAAAACTCAAAAAAATTTCATAAGGTATGGACTGAACTCAATAGACAAC